GGGGTCTCCTGCCCAGAGGAGGGAGCATTGACCCTGGGTCTGGATGGCAGGTGGGCTCAGGCATACGTGGTAACCTTGGAGGCCTGGGATGGGGGGTGGGATTAGGAGGTTAAAGGGAAGGGGGCAGCAGCCTCTGGTTTTCAGCCCCACTGTCCCCGCCTGCTAGCAAGGAGCAGAGCTAGCTGTGGTCATAGAAGTCCTCGGGAAATAGCACTTCCCTCTGTGGGGAAGTAATAATACACAGACAATACTATTAATAGCACCAATAGTTGCAGATGCTGTTTATTAAGTGCCTACTCTGTACCGGGCTCTTTCTTTATATTATCCCACTTAATCTTTGGGAGGCAGATATTAACCTCCCATTTTGTAGATGACAAAACAAGCTCAGGGAGACTAAGCAAATTTGCTCAAGATCTCACAGCTGGTGGCAGGTTTTTTTGGGGGGGGAGTTAGTGGAGGGGTGGCTTGAGAGATGAACCCTAGCACTATGGCTTTGAAGCCAGTATCTGTGTTTCTACGCCTCCCTCAGCCAAGGTCTGTGTGGTTGAAGCCGAGGAGTGGCCTGGGCAGAGAGGAAGGAAATGCCAACTGAGAGTGGGCCGTGGGGCTATTGCCGGCTGGGAAGTCAAGAGAGGACGGGGGACAGTGGGGTGATGAGCAGCCGGGGCCCAGTGCTAAGAGAGATGGTGGGTCGTGAGGGGAACAGGCTGGGGTGATGGAGAAAAGGTCAGTTTGGGCACCCAAAGGTGCAGGTTCTACTCAGGGTCGTACCTTCAACTTCCTGTGTGACCTCGGGCCAGTCTCTCACCTCTCAGGTGTTGGGATGATTGCTAACGTCTCCTTTCCTTTCGCTTGGGTGTTGGGATTTGGGGATGGCAGGTCCCTTTTGTGGTTAAAGAACCTCCCCTCACCCCCTCCTTGGAAAGATGGAACAAGTGAGCAGCCGGCTTGAATTCACAATCGAATCCAGACCCCGGGGACCTGAGGAGAGGAAGCTGGAGGCCAAGGAAAGAGCAGGACAGAAGCGTGTCTGCTCCAGCCCCTCCTCAGCGAATCACCATCTGGCCTCATGTGGCCTCATGTGGCCTGAGAACCACGCGGATTCTGGGACCTGTGGTGGGAGAACAGGCACCTGTGAGCCCGTGGCAGCCTCGGGCCGGCCTGGTGCTGGGCACAGCTCTAGTGCGTGGCTAGGGGGCGGGATGCAGGGAAGCAGCAGGCTGGAGAGGGCTTTGTTGGGGGAAAGACAGGCTGTGGCTGTTCAGTGCCCTCAAGACACAGGATCTGGGCTGAGTTCTTGAAGAGGAGAAGGAACTGGCAAGACAGCCAGGGCACGGGAGTCAGAGAGGCGCAGCTGAATCTGGGCAGGTGCCTCCTTTCAAGTCACAAGGTGGCGGGTGAGTCATTTATGCCCAGAGCCTTCCGTCCCTGCCCTGAAAAGAACGTAGGTAATCATGCCCATCTCGGAGCGTAGGTGAGGGAATGAATTGAGGGGACAGGAAGAAAGAGTTTTGGATAGGGCCTGCCCAAGAGTAGGTATGAAATGGTGGCTACTGTTATTGTTGTTGCTGTCAATAATGATACTAAATAAAGAGGTGTCCTGAACAAGGTGGGGCCTGGGAGGCAGGTTTCGCTACCCTCTGGCTATGTGGCGCCCACCACCTCTCTGTCAGAGGAGGGGGGCACTAGCTGATCTCTAGGCCCCTTCCTGCTCCGACAGCCTCCAGCTATGAATAGATGGGGCTGGGGCCCCGGAGGAGTTTAATGACTCAACAGCCAGAAAGGTTAAACTTCCCTGTTTCTGTTTGTATACGATGAACTTGAGGCCCAAGCTAGGAGACCAGAGATGGGAGTTGAGGAATCCTTGCAGCCAGCAGAGACTGTGACTAACCAGGTGAATGACTAATGCCGACCCTGCTGACCCTCAACCAATCAGGGCTGCCCATGGTGGGTGCCCTGCAAGCTGGCATCACCGAGCACATCTTGGTCATGCTGGTCCTGGCCGGCTCTGGGCTTCACAGCCTAGAGAGGCAGAGGAAGCAGCAGGGGAAAGAGCGCTAGACTTGGAGTCAGAAGACCCAGCTTCTTGCTCTAAATGCTCACCAGCTGTTACTTTGGGGGGGTCCCTTCCCCTCCCTGAGTCTCCAGGCCCTCTCTGTGCAATGGAGCTAACAACACCCGCCCTGGAAACATCCCTGAGCTATGAAGGCTGAGGTGAAAATGCACCGTGCTCATTAAGGAGCTGAATGAATGGGAGGTTCTGTCATTGTCCTACCCCACTGGGACTGCTGGTGCCTCAGCAGATCCATTTGGGTCCCCAAAGGAGTCAGATGGACAGAGGCTGCTGCCTTTGGGTTTTGGGTCAATGAGTCTCATATAAAGCCCTTTCCAGCCATTGATCACAGCCTAGACTGTAGGGCTCCTATGGACACCTTCCAGCCAGGTGGCATAGCCGGAGTGAAAGGTGACAAAAAGCCAGGGATGTTTGGGGGAGGCAGGGAGTGGGCTGTGCCAGTCTGGAGCCCCCACAGCCCTAGGGTGGTGCTTTGACGCTGTCTTTCCTCTTGCCCGGCACGTTATAAATAAATAATCACCAGAACCACACTCTATCTGTCTCTACCTCCAGCTTTTAGCATCTCTCTTGGTGAGGACGACAGACACTTTGGGAGACGGCAGGGATGGAGGGAAAAGATGATGTCTTTTCATTTCTGCACACCTTAAATCCATCAACAGCCTTCTCTGTGCTCATGTGTGCCTCTGGGTACTGTGCCAGCATAGGGGGCACGGAGATGGGGACCGGAAGGCCCTGCCCACGTGAAGGTTAATGACGGTGTGGGTAAAGAGACCAAATACAGCCCCCCAAATTTAAGTAACCATGCAAAAGCGCCTCCAGTGTCATCCTGACAATAAGTCTTGCAATTGCTCATAGCAGCGGCTTGGGATGTTCCCGGAGACTCTAAGGAGGAAGTGAGGTTTGAGCGGGACCTGGAACGTTAGCTTGGACAAGCTAAATAGGAGACAGAGAAGAAGGCGTGTCACACGGCCACACCTGAGGTGTTCTTGGGGGAACAGCTTGGCTGCAGTGGAGGGATCATGTCAGTCTGAAGTGAGAAATGAAGTTGGACATCGAGGTTGCAGCCAGGTACAAAGGACCTTGAAACTGAGATAAGGCGCATGGACCGGACTCCATGGGTAGGGGAGCATCGTGGGCTGCGGAGTAGCATACCGGTGTGGCTGGAGCTGTGCTTTGAGGAGACTCTGGCAGCACTGTCCCCGGGAACTCATCCCATGGGGGATGAGGCTGGAGGCAAGGAGTCAGTTGGGAGGTTCCTGAGGAGCCGGGCCACAGGTACATGGGGCTGAGAGAGAAAGGGGGCACAGAACCACGGGCATGGTGTGTGGGAAGAGGGAGCAGGGAGGCCTGAGAATGTTTGCTGCTCCTGAAACCCTGGCAGGTGGCAGGGCAGTGGTGGAGGGGCAAAGGGAGGACCTGGTCTGGTCCTTCCCAGGAAAGCAAACCTGAGCTTTGGGCAGGGCCCGTGTCTGCCCATCCTACTCTAAACTCACAGGGTCAGCAGAACCCAGAGGGACCCCCCACTGGGGCCACATCTACTTGTGGCTCCTTTTTTCCCCTTCCAAGAGAGGAATCCAAGCACTGCCCTGCCTAGCTCCCTGTGGTCCCCAGAGAGACGTGGAGCCTCCCGCAGAGTCCTTCAGCAGACAGACGGACAGAGCCCTGCCTTTACTCTCGGGACTCCTGTGGCCTCTCGGGAAAACACTGTCATCTTGCCATGGGCCATGCCAAGTGGCAAGGAGCCCCTGGGAGTCCTGCCAAGGCAAGAGGGGAGCCGGGGGAGGAGAGGAGACAGGAGAGGCGGAGGAACCAGCCCCCGGTGGCTTCCTAGGGGGCTTTGGAGGAAGGTGGGTGGGAGCATCTCAGGACGGGGAGGAGTCCTTGAGCTCGTTGCAGCCAAGCTCTTGTTGTCCGGCAGTGAGCCTGAGACCCAAGCCCGGGAAGGGACTTGCCCAAGGTCATACAGGGGCAGAAGTGAGGAGCTGGCTGGGTCCTTAGTGTCCTGGGGGTGGGGAAGGCGTTCACTCCTGTCTGGTCACTTTTGAACAGCACATCAAGGGCCTCTCTGAAGAGTTATTCCCTGGACATCCGTGGTGTGCCATGTGCCTGTGCCTGTGTGTGCTCATGCCTGTGCCTGTGTGCGCGCATGCCTGTGCCTGAGTTGTGAGAGAGCCTAGGTGTGTGTGTGTAGCTTCCTAGGCTGCGGTTGGCCTCAGCTTGGAGACGGGAACTGAGGCCATTCCTGTGAGGTGAGGCAGACAAAGCTGCATCTGGCTCCCAGAGCCAGTTCTGACACCCTGACAACACTAAAGGCACAAACTCTCGGAACCGAACACCACCCCCCCCCCCCCAACACACACACAGGCACCTCCCCACAGCCCACAGATACAGGGTGTTTCAGGAACCCAGAGTGGCCCAGAGTCCCCCGAGTGCCGAGTACCTGCAGCCACACGTGTCCCGGAGCCCCAGCCCATCTGCAGGGACAGGGAGGAGTCGCACACTCCCAGCGGCTCAGCTCGGCTAGGCTCGCACTCAGCGGCCCGGGTCCAGGGCTTGGCCGGGCCACACCCCTCCTCCCCGGCCTCCCTCGCCCGGCTCCTTCCGGATCCTCTCACACACTTCGGAGTCCCCCGGGGCCCCGCGCAGCCTGGCAGGGACAAGTTGGGGCTGGCCCCGCTGGCTGGAGAGTCGGGTCCGAAGCCAGGAATCGACGCCGGTCTTCTCCCCCCCCCCCCACACCCTCCTCCTGTCCCCCCGGCCCTCCCGCCCCCAGTCCTGTGCCCGCGGAGCAGACACGCCAGGCTCAACTCGGGGCTCTGCAAGCACTGGGTTCGGCGCCCAGACCCTCCACGGGGGAACCCCCTCCCCAGCGGGCTCCCCGGAACGCCGCCCCCGGGTCCCCGCCCCCTGCCCCGCGAGGAGTTACCGATGGTGGTGATGACGGTGATGGCGAAGTAGAAGGAGCCGGCGAAGCGCCACTGCACGCCGGCCTTGTGCGGCTTGAGGCGCAGCACGACGCGCTCCAGCTCCTCGTAGCCGCCCTGGCTGAGGTTGTAGCGCGCCCGCAGCTCCTGCTGCCGCAGCTCCAGCCGCTGCCGCTCGATCATCTCGGGCTCCGACTCGAGCGCGTCGAAGACGGCGGCGCCCACCAGCAGGTAGGTGAAGGTGCACACGATGAGCGCCAACGTGCGCACGTTCTGCCGCTTCATCGTCCCGCCCGGGCCGCCGCCGCCGCCGGCCCCCCGGCGCCCCCGGCCCGCGCCCCGGCCCCGGCCCCGGCCCCGGCCGCCGCTGCTGCTGCCCCGGAGGCGGCCTGGGGCATGGCTGCGCTCGCAAGCTCCCGCGCTGGGCACCCGCTCCGCGCCCCGGGCCGCCGCCGCCGCCAACGCCGCCGCCGCGGAGCTGTCCCTTCAGCACCACCCACCGCCCTCCTCCGCCGGCCCCGCTCCCGCCCCCCGCCCCCCGCCCGCGGGCCGCCTCCTCCCGCCAGCCCTCCCGCCCAGCCAAATAAGGACTGGGGAGACGCGCGGAGGGAGGGAGGGAGGCGGTGGCTGGCGGAGGGGGAGGGGACGGGCAGCGAGCGGGAGAGCCGTGGAGAGAGCCGCCAGGACACACACACACACACACACACACATACACACACACACACACACACACACACACACACACATACAGACCCAGAGATAACTAGACAGAGAAAATGCATAGAACTACAGAGAGAGAGAGAAAGAGAGAGAGAGAGAGAGCGCGAGCGCACGAAAGAGAGGCAGAGGGGAGTGTGCCAGGCAAGGAGATAAAATCAGAGGTAGACTCATAGGCAGAGAAAAGAAGAGGCAGGCAGAAAATACCGAGCGAGAGAGAGGCAGAGAGCGGCAGACCATGACAGGGAGACCTGGGTAGCTGGAGATCAATGGATAACACGGAATCAGAAAAGCAAGGAAGGGGAGAGGAAAGGCAGAGTGAGCCCCTGGCCCATCCTCCTCCCTCCACAGAAACCACAGATGCTGTAGCCGGAAGGGACCTTGGGACTTAGGGTCAGCACTGGGACTCAGCTAGCTTTCCCTCCTCTGGACCACAGCCCCACTTCCCTGCCAGGCTGTGGGCTGTCTTATAAATGGGAGGGCACAGCTGTGGACCTGGGCACATGTGGGCCAACACCCAAGGAAAACCCTGCTCTCATGAAATGTGTCCGTTCACAGTCAGCATGCTCCCCTATGGCTGTGAAGGCACAAACTGGTGACCTGGGTCAGGAACACCCAGTCCCAGCAGCTCTGCTCCCCCCACTCCCTGGAGCAAGTGGGGAGGGGAAGTTGTACTGTTTTGACACCATCTGTGGCCCCTGTCCTGCACCATCAGGCCAGGCTGGGCTTGGGCTGCCGGAGACAATGCTGGACATCCCCGCAGAAGTGAGGTCTCCATGCAGTAGGGCTGGTGGGATCAGATCTGGAGGATCTGACAGGCTGCAGGGACCAGGAGTCTCCCCCGGGCCTCAGGTTCTTCATTTGCCAACATGGTGGCAGTGGTGGTGAGGAGGAGCAGGCTGTGGGATCTCAGGCCAGGCGCCACTGCCCCTCTCAGCCTCGCTTCTTCACCTCCTTGATGAGGTGCCATGGCAGATGACCCCACAGGCCTTGCTTAGCTCCAAACAACTCCAGACTTGGATGGGCTGAGTGAGTAGAATGACAGGAATGCAAATCCCACTGGCAAAGGTGTGTGTGTGTGTGTATGTGTGTATGTGTGTGTGTGTGTGTGTAACAGTCTTTCATGGGACCCTGGCATGGGCCACGAGGTCAGACATGAAAGAGGCCCCCAGGCCTGGCTGAGGGTAGGCTCAGGAGGCAGACAGCCAGAGTGGGAGCACTATCTGCCCACAGCCTGGGCTGGCCTGGCACTCTGGACACGGCACTGCTTTCCCAGGCGAGCCACCAACACGTTCTTTCCTTCAACCGTTCGGTCATCAAGCATCCATCAGCACCTGCTACGCGTCTGCTGGGCATGTGGTTACATGCATTATCTCGAGTCCTTTCCACAATTCCGAAAGGTAGGTATGGTTGTGTCTATTTTATAGATGGGGAAACTGAGGTTAAAAGCAGTGTGGAGAGTTACCCAAGACCATTTAGCTGGGAAGAGAGTTCAGTCTGCCTCCTTAGCCCATGTTCTTTTCCATCATGACTCCTTGAGCCTCAATGTTAAAAAATCTGTAAATAGGGTAGAGCTCTGAACAGGTTGTTGTGAGGAACCAACGGAGGTCACATTTGTGCAATCAGACTATATGGGGCCCTAGAACATCTCATTCCCCCCTAGGACTCTGGTCTCTGACCAGCGCCCGATGGGAGGGCCCTGGTTTGTGACATCGTACCTCTCCCCATCCTATCGGCACCCCCTTCCCAGGATCTTTGATTCTTGGAAGACACAAACTTTCTGACCCTGCGCCTTTGGCCATGAACCCAGCCTACTGCAGGCTTCCCCCCTGAGCATCTTCTGGCTCTGGAAGAAAAACGCTGCCTTCCTGGCTCCCAGGGGTAGAACTACAGTTGGGTTTTCAACTCCTGGCCGCACCCTCCCCGAAAGCAGTTCCCCCAAAGCTGGTCTAGAAGAGCAGCAGTATGCTGGACCTGGTTTTCCGTGGGAAAGAAAGGCTGTGTGTGGAGGGGCTTGTTTCTGGCAGCCAGGCCAGACTGCTGTGCAGATGAAAGGCGATATTATGAGTCTGAGAGCTTTAAAAAGGGGAAAAATGCTGTCTTTTAGGGGCAGGGCATTTATTATTAATTCTGATGAAGCCTATTCTCAGCACTTCAGAACTGGAGGGGCCTTTGGAGATTGTCTAGCCCAACCCTCTCATGTTACAGATGGGGAAACTGAGGCATGGAGCGTAAGAAGGGAATTTGCCCAAGGTCACACAGTGAGTGAGGGGTGCAGGGCTCCTGCCCCATGGGGTTTTTCTGTAGCATCCATTATGTGTGGGATCAGAACATCTGCCAGTTTGGGGAATACAGCACAACCACGGTGGAGTGGAGGGCAATCTGGGTCTCCTCTTCCTGCCTCTCCTCCCTCCTTTCTCTTAAGGAGGTGGGAGTGGTGGTGGTGGTGGGGCTTCAAGCTGGTGCCTGTCTAAGCTTCTATGTAGCCCCTGGGACCTTTAGGCAAGAGTGGCATCAGCCTATCCTTGACCTGGGTGGGATTGTGCCAAAGACCGCACAGTCTATGGCACATCCTTTCCTCCAAGATTCCTTGGACTGTCTGCACCTGTCGGGCATGCACACCCCCCCCCCCCCGACCCCCTCTGCCCAGGGCCAGGTGTCAGAGAGCACCTCTGTCAATCTTGTCTGCTATACTCAAGAATGACGGCTCAGCTATGGCGTCTCCGTGTTCTTCTGTTTTGTTTTGTTTTCAATCCATTGGTGACTTTAGTGGAGGAAGCTTTGGGCCAATTAGAGACTTTTTTTTTTTTTTTTTTTTTTACATCTCTCAAATCATGACACCCGTCAGCCTTCTGTGTGATGATTTCCCAAAATTCTTTGCAGTAGAGAGACCCAGGGTAAAGTGTCGGGAGGCTTGGGCTGGGTTGCTGTCTCTGCCAGTCATTTGCTGGGGGACCTGGGGCCAGTCACGCCCTCTCCCTGGGCCTCGGTTTACACAGACATGAGTGGAGGGGTTTGGACCAGGACATGCCTGTGCTCCCTTTATTTATAACATCCCATGACCATCCTGGCCTGCCACTGCCTCCCTAGTTCTCCCAAGAATCAGGGAGAAAGAGATTTCTAGCCACTGCTTTCTAAGACCTTAGTTTGTGAGGAAAAGGACAGGGTCAAGTTAGGATAAAATCCATGGCGGCTCTTTGGCCCCTTGAGTGTGGCTCTTCCACAAAATACCATGGCCTGGGTGAGTCTACTTTGAAGAAGTGGCGTTCGTTAGAAGGAGTTTAAGTTTAAAAAATGTGGCTCTCCAAAGAAGTTTTGATTGTTGTACTGTTGATATGTGGCTCTGTTGACTAATGAGTTTGCCGACCACTCGGAATAAATGATACTGAATAATTATCATTAGTTGTTGCATGTTATTATACACATTATTACTTCCCAGCTTTGTCTTTCCCTCCACCCCTCTCTACATTCTAGGCACATCCAAGTGCTTTCATGCTTCACTTCTGGCTCACTTGGCTCCCATACGCTAGGATCCTGGCTCCTCCATTTTCTATCTGTTGAACTCCTGCCCAGGCTTCAAGAACCAGCTCTAAGGCCACTTCCTCCAGGAAGCACTCCACGGTTGCCACCAGTCAAAACCTCTGGCTCCTTTGCGCTTCCGAGGCAGCCTGTCTAAACTTCTGTCCACCAGCTCTTCCTCCTGGGTGATAGATCAGGCGGCGCTTGAACATGTGTCTGCGGCACTGGCTCCTTGTTTTCTCCAGGGTGGAGACCCTTCTTACACGAGGCCCTTCCCAGTGGGGAGCACAGTGTTTTGCACATCAGAGTGGCTCCACATGTTGTCTGGTGTCCTCAGTAGCATCCTACACCTGCTGGGTTAGAGACCAGCAGTGTCAGCGGGAGAGGGGGACAGACTGAATCCACAGGCAGCAAACCCCAGCAATCTGCTCCCGTCACTCCTGGCAGACAGCCCCTTCTGAAGCCAGAGTGAGCCCTGCCTGGCTTAGGGGAAGGGGACAAAGGCAGGTGTGGGTGTCCAAAGGCCGGAGGAAGCTTGTGGAGATGGCATTGGACTGGGAGTTCAAACACCAGGCTTGGTCCCAGTGCTGCCACCAACTACCAACTAGCTGGGGGGTGGGGGTGGGGGACTTGAAAGAGTCCCATCGCCTCTCTGTGGCCCAGTGTCCTTTTCTACAGAAGGAAGGGTTGACAATCTAAAAAAGTCCCTTCCTGCCCTGACATTCTGTGATACTAATGACAGGCCTGGACCGGGGACCAGCAATGCTCATTGTGCAATGGTCAAGAATGTGGGCTGAAGGATGAGGGGTCCAGAGCACTCTCTGTCCATTGCTTTTTAGCTCCTCTTTACTGGCCAGTTTGGCTGGAGAGTGGGTGCAGGGAGCAGGGAGCAGGGAGGTAGGGAGTGACATAGTTGACCCTGAGTCAGATGGCTGAGTTCAAATCCTAACTATCAATTACTAGCTGGACCGGAGCCTCACATGGAATTCTGGTCCACCCTATTTAGAACAGACCCAACTGGGCAGGGAAAGGGCCCTGCTCATCCCTGT